GCCTTATCCTCCCTTTAACTATATATATATATATAATAAATAAAAAAAGGAGACACCTAATAATATAAATATAAATAAAAGGGGGACAACAGATTAATTGCCTTAATTTCCTCATGAAGAAAGACACAGAAAAGGAGACAACTGTCCCCAAGCAGCAACGCCCATCTGTTATACCCTTCATCCCCCGGGGGCCCCAGGGGCCCCCCTTGCTTATTAAACAAAAGGGTGTACCCACCAAGTACCCTTCCCTGTCGGCAGGGGCCCCCAAAGGGCCCCCCACAAGGGCCCCCGAGGGCCCTACTGTACCCTCCTCAAGAGGGGTTCTCGGTTTCTTCTTAGGTGGGGGCTTCCCGTCTGATGGGGGCCCCCTTACAGGGGGCACCCGCACCCTTGGGGGGCCCGTATCTGGAGGGCCTCGTAGGGCCCCCCCGTTAGGGGCCCCCGACTCTACGGGGCCCCCTACACTCTTCAGGTACAAGGGACAGGAAATGCACCTCTGGCCTCCCCTACAGGTCTGTCTGTGCCTAGAGGGCACAGCAGAAGGGGGCCTTTTCTCTACTGGGGGCCCCCGTCCTCGTCTTGTACCCTTGGGGGGCCCCTGCCGGGGGCCCCCCGGCCGCCACCCCGTCTGGACTGACGACCTCCTGGGCCCCCACGGCGAGGCGATCCCCCTCTGTACCCTCCATCTCTGCAGCAGCAGCAGCAGCAGCCACACACACAGCACTAACAGCAGCAATATATAGCTAACGCAACTGCAGCAGCAGCAGCAGCAGCATGGGGAGAACCTATAAGAAAAGGGTTAGAAGGGGCCCCCTAGTGTGGGGCCCCTCTGTGATGATGATCTTTTGCTTAGGGAGGGAGATAGGGAGATAAAGGAAAAGGAGAGGGGCCCCTACCTGTCTCTTGGGGGCCCCCTGTCTCTGCTTCTGCTTCTGTCTCTGTGTCTTTGTTCGAATTCTCCATTGGCAGGGGGATGGAAGGGGGGCCCCAAGAAAGGAGGGGGCCCCAGTACCCCTGGTGCCCCTAGGGGCCCTGGGGACATAAGAGACCCTAGAGGGGCCCCTGGTAATCCTGCTGCAGCAAGAGCAGCAAGAGGAAGGGGCCCCGGTGCAAGTACCCCTGGAGGGAGCAATGGTGGCAGTAGTGACCCTCCAGCTGTAGCAGCAGCAGCTGCAGCAGCAGCAGCAGCAGCAGGTGATGCACCTTGTGGTGGTGTCTGTGGGGCCCCTGGTGGTGTTTTAAGTCGTTCTGCTGCACCCATATAAATAAGGGGGCCCCCCCCGGGGGCCCCCGGGTCCGGTTGCTGCTGATACATATGTCTCCTGAACCCTATTGTATGATTAACTGTTTTGTGTCTTTCTCTACAATAAGAAAGATATTGATCACATACTGATTGCACTAAATCCTCACACATTGCTAAGGCCTGAAAAAAAAAAAACCCTAAACCCTAAACCCTAAACCCTAAACCCTAAACCCTAAACCCTAGATATTGATATATATATGTATATGTAATATATATATAAAATTATATTTAATTAAATGCATAGTATATATAATAATTAAATACATTATAATAAATATAATAAATTAATACACACAAACAAGACAAAGAAGAAAAATAAATAAATAAATAAATAGGGTATTTATATAAAGGAATAAAATAAATAAATAATTAAATAAAAGAATAAAACATATATATAAATAAATAAATAAAATAAATAAATAAATAAAATAAACAATAATAATAAATTGTATAGACAGCAACTCCTTAGCACAACAACACAAGCAGCAGCAGCAACAGCAACAGCAGCAACAGCAGCAGCAGCAGCAGCAGCAGCAGCAGCAGCAGCAGCAGCAGCAGCGTACTTTTTCGAATGCTTCATCATCATGTGAGGAGAGGGTAAGATGGAGTCTGTCTGCTACAGGGGCATCATTAAGGGGCTTCCCTAAGAAAAAAAAATAAATAAATAAATAAATAAATAAATAAATAAATAGGTGTCTCCTTTTTGTCTCCTTTTGTCTCTCTCTTCCTGTCTCTATTTCTCTTAATTATTACGTTTATATATTATTTGTTTTATATATAAATATATATATTTATATATTTATTCTCCTCCTCTCTAAGAAATTCTAGGGTTTAGGGTTTAGGGTTTAGGGTTTCTCTAGGGTTTAGGGTTTATAATATATATGGTATATTACTATAATTAATTATTGCATACAAACATATATTTATCTAATCCTTAAAGAAATTCTAGGGTTTAGGGTTTAAGGTTTTTCTAGGGTTTAGGGTTTAGGGTTTAGGGTTTAGGGTTTACCTCTTATGCCAATTTCTAGCTTATGTTTAGCATGCTCTAATATATATTGTATATATTACTAAAATAAATTATTAAATAAATATATATATTTATCTAATCCATAAAAAAATTCTAGGGTTTAGGGTTTTTCTAGGGTTTAGGGTTTAGGGTTTAGGGTTTAGGGTTTAGGGTTTACCTCTTATGCCAATTTCTAGCTTATGTTTAGCATGCTCTAATATATATTGTATATTACTATCATTAGCTCCTCTAAGTGCAGCAGCAACACAGAAGCTTGGCTCTTCTCCGAATAGGCCAACAAGCTCTAGTCTGCATACACGTTTTGTGCTGCTGCTGCTGCTGCTGCTGCTGCCCATTTGTAACGAATGCTGTTGCTGCTGTTGCTGTTGCTGCTGCTGCTGCTGTTGCTGCTGCTGCTGCTGCAGCTGCAACGAACCCTCGTTCTGTGACTTAGATCGAGGGTCACCTGATGACCAGCATGCACCAGAGTCCCATTGAGGGGGTGCAGCAGCAGCAGAACCTGCTGCTGCATTACCTGCAGCAAACTGCTGCTGCTGCTGCTGCTGCTGCTGCTGCTGGGGTTGTGCTGGATCAGCAGCAGACTCAGGTAGTAATGCTGCTGCTGCTGCACCTGGTGGTAACTGCAGCACCCTCAGCATACCCACCCCCTCTAAGGGTACACCATCAAGAGCCGTCATGCATGCATTTGCTGCAGCAGCAGAACCAAAGGTTACTTCTGCTGCTGCTCGGTCCCTCAAAATGTACACCTGCAGCAGCAGCAGCAGCAGCAGCAGTAACAGTAACAGGAGTAACAGTAACAGCAGTAACAGTAGCAGTAGGTATCAGTAACAGTAACGTTCAACTGCAACAGCAGCAGCAGCAAGAACAGCAGCAGCAGGGGTAGCAGCAGCAGCAGCAGCAGCAGCAGCAGATCCTTCTTCTGTATAGGTATCTCCGTATTCTCCCTTAGATATTTTCTAGTATCTCCAAGGTACATCTAAGACTATAATGGTAGGGCCCCCAACAGGGGGCCCCTATATAAGTGGAAAGCGGGGGGGGGGCCCCCCGTAGAGAGGAGAGGCCCCCCTCTATAAGAGGGTGGGGGGGCCCCCCATAGGGGGGGCCCCCTATAGGATATATATATATATTTATGCTTACATTTTCAAGAGAGCCATAGGGGGAGAGAGAATCTCTTATGTCTCCTTCTTGTAAGGCGAATATTCTTGTAGGCCTATCTATAAATAGGAGGAGCCTTGGGGGGCCCCCCGATGGAGGGGGGCCCCCTACAGGTGGAGGGGGGCCCCCTTGTGGACCAGAGAAGTTAAAAGGAGGTGGGGGACCCATTGATGATGGGGGACCCATAGAGGATGGGGGACCCATTGATGATGGGGGCCCCATGGAGGATGGGGGGCCCATGGAGGATGGGGGGCCCATAGAGGATGGGGGCCCCATTGATGATGGAGGGCCCATGGAGGATGGGGGGCCCCTTGTTGATGCTAAATACTGCTGAGCTGCTGCTGCTGCTGCGGATATCCCACTACATACTCCTCCTACATCCTGCTGCTGCTGCTGCTGCTGCTGTTGCTGTTGCTGCTGCTGCTGCTGCTGGTCCTGCTGCTGCAGTGGATCACCTACAGGGGTACCAGAGCCTCTAGTAGAAAAAAGGAGCTGCAGCTGCTGCAGCTCCTCAGATGGCTGCTGCTGCGGTGGCGGCTGCGGCTGCTGCTGCGGCTGCTGCTGTTGCTGCTGCTGCCCCATGGGGGGATCGGAAGCAGCAGCGAGATACATGTCGGCGCTGGCGCTCCAATTCTTAATCAAATATCTTTTGCTTAAGCAGCGGCTGCAGCTTATGCTGCTGCTGCTGCTGCTGCTGCTGCTGTTGCTGTCTATGCTGCAGCAACTGCCTCAGCTTTATACGTCGCAGCAGAAGGAGAATCTCTACTGTGTACGTACACTGTATCTTTGTCTCTGGGTAGTTCCCCCCTCGTGCCTGTGCTTGTGTGGACCGTACGTGGCGTTGCTGCTGTTGCTGCTGCTGCTGCTGCAGCAACAGCAATGGAAGCTGCACTTGCTATTGCTACTCCTGCTGTTGGGGTAGAGAATCGTGGAGTTGCTGCTGCTCCTAGTCAGACAGGATGGTTTAACCTTATCGTTCGAGGTCCACTACATGCATGCATGCGCTGCAGCAACAGCAGCAACAGCAGCAGCAACAGCAGCAGCAGAGAGGCAGCAGCTGCAGTGGAGGCAGGGGCAGCAGCGTATGAGGCAATTGGAGATGACGCAATCCAATATAGTGGTCTGTTTTCTTGGGTAATATAATCTGTTGCTGCTGCTGCTGCTGCTACTGCTGCTGCTGCTGTCGGGTGTACACACACCTCAGCAGCAGCGTCGCCTGTGGGCGAGGCGTGCGCAGGAGCAGCGCCTCCTTAGGAGGGAGAGTTTCTTATATATTTACCAATAGAAAGTCTTGAGCCAAAAACAAATGTTTCTAGTCACTAGTAATCAAATATTCTGAACGAATTAAGCCCGTGGGCCCGTCTTGCTGCATGCGCTGCTGCTGCTGCTGCTGCTGCGGCTGCGGCTTCAGCCGGTATACTACCACCCCGTCGGCCATTGCTGCAGTCTAACGGTTCTCCTCCTTTCTTCTTCTTAATTTATTCATTTTCTTTCTTTTTATTGGCTTTTTTTATTGTAAGAAACCCTTACAGCACGCAGCTACCTCTTACCCTCCCTCCTAGGTGCCCTCCCACTGGGGGCCCCAGCAGCAGCAGCAGCAGCAGCAACAGTAGCAGCAGCAGCAGCAACAGCAGCAGTAGCAGTACTTGCATGCACGCCTCTGTTGCTCTGTGTAACTCCTAGTTCCTTATTGTTAAGTTTCCTTGCATGTCTACGAATCAAAGCCCCAAAGAATTGCTGCTGCATGCATTGCTGCTGTATATTAATAATAAATATTCTCTTAGTGCTGCATGCAAATGCAGCAGCAGCAACAGCAGCAGCAGCAGCAGCAGCATAATGGTAGGACTTATTCCCTATATTATTAACTATGTCTATAGTTATCCTAATAAACATTTAGTTATGTATAATAAGCTAATAGTAACTAAGCAGCAAACAGCAGCAAATTATATACACAATTAGTGCATGCATGCAGCCTATAATTATTTATTCGTGCATGTGGGGGTCTTGCTGCATTTGCTGCAGCAAGGTGTGCAGCAGCACATAAGCTGCTGCTTCCTATTCATCATCTATAGGCTAAGCACTGCTGCTGCTGCATGCGCTGCAGTCACTTACTGGTCTGGCGCTGCAGCAGCTGCTGCTGCTACTGCAGCAACAGTGCAGCAGCTGCTGCTATGGGGCTTAGCATGCAAAGACGAAGCTGCTAGATGCAGCAGCAACGTTGCTGCTGCTGCACAGCAGCACAGTTCCTGCTGCTGCACAGCAGCACAATTCCTGCTGCTGCACAGCAGCACAGTTCCTGCTGCAGCTGCTGCACAGCAGCAAGGCACAACTATAAAAGATACAACTATAATATATATATACATATATAGTCCTTAAAAAAGCCCCAAAATAATTAGTAGGGGGGAGAGTTGCATGCATGCGTTTCCTCTTTCTTATTAAGGGAAGGAATAAATAAATAAATAAATAATATCTTCCTTCTTGCTGCTGCTGTTGCTGCTTATTATTTTTTTCCTCTTTATTCCTTCTTTCCCTTATTATTTATATTTATTTATTCTTTTTTTTTATTATATATAATTATATAATAAAAAAAAAAGAATTAATAAATATTTTTTCTTGCTGCTCTTTCTTCTCTCCCTCTCTCTCTTCTTCTATTAACAGCAGCAACAGTTTATTACCCAACAAATAGGCATTCTGCTGCTGCTGCTGCTGCTGCTGCTGCTGGGCATCAGCATTTGCTGCCCTTTTCTTCCCTTTCCCTCCCCTCTTGTATACCTAACAATTTATTCTTATTGTTACCTCTGCCTCTGTATATTATGTCTCCCTTTCTTCTTATATATAGGGACAGTAAGGAAGAAGGGGATGCAAGAAAGGGAAGGAGCAGCAACCTCTTGTGCTGCTGCAGGGCACTGGGGCCCTATGGGGGCCCTCAAGGGTATCGATATACTTGTGGGGCCCCCCCTAACCCATAATGATGACTACGCCTCTACCCTCCTGCATGCACAACGAGTTCCTCCCTGTATAGCAGCAAGAAGAGAAGGGGTGGCTATTATAATTATTATAATTATATTTATAATTATAATAATAATAATAATAATAATTATTATTATTATTATTATTATTATTATTATACATATAATTATATTTATAATTATAAATGCGTTTGTGTCTCCCGGGTGTACAGGCAGGTCCAGTTACGACATCCTCGTCACCACCTTAGGGGGCCCCCAAGGCACTCGTGGGTACTAAATGCCCTTTAGGGGCCCCATCAGTAGAGGTGTACAGGTTAAGAAATGTCTAGCTAGCTAGCTGGCGTGGTCACCAGCAGAAGGGTAGCTAGCTACCCAGCAATCTATAGCTAGCTAGCTAGCTAGCTAGCTAGCTAGCTATACGGCTGCTCAGCTATGTGCAACTAAATGGTTCTATAGGGAGCTGCTGGCTAAACTCTTAGGGCCCTGCTGCCCCATGACTATCTATCTAGCTATCTAGCTAGCTAGCTAGCTAGCTAGCTAGCTAGTAAATAGCTAGCTACTAAATAGCTGATTAGCCGTCATTGTTTCTAAGACCAAGTTGTTTAGGTTTATTCAAATTGCCCTCCCTATGAGTGGCTATGGGGGCCCTCTTTCCTTAGGGCCCCCCAACCCCCCGGCACCCCCCCCGGTGCTATAGGGGCCCCCCTAGTCTAGGGGGCCTCCCACCATATAGAGTAGGGGCCTATTGTTTGCCTACAAGGGGTTTAACAGCAGCAAGGGCCTCCTTAGTAACATCATCAATATGCCTACTAGCATCTATCTCATAGATTTTAGGTGGGGGCCCCTGGGGGCCCCCCTCCTTCCCCCCTTTTCTTAATGCAGCTAGTATAGGGGCAATAGTCTCCTCGAACATTTTTATACGTTTTTTTAGTACATCTACTGCATCGTCCTCCCTCTGTCCCCCTCCTCCTTGTTTGTCCCCTAATAAGGAGGGAGGAGGGGGCCTATGGGGCCCATAGGTAAGACCTGTATTAGGGTCTGTTATCCTACCTGATAAACGTTGTAGTAATATATCTGTAGGGGCATTAAGGACTAATACAGCAGCTGCAGCAGCAGCAGCAGCAGCAACAGCAGCAACAGCAGCAACAGCAGCAGCAGCAGCAACAGCAGCGCAGCACATACACATACATACGTATTTATACTTACTGATGCTGATGATGATGCTGCTGACGGTACAATTGCTAGTAAGAGCAGCAGCAGCAGCAGCAGCAGCAGCAGCAGGAGCAACGGGAGGAGAAAAGGAGACAGAAGCAAGTAGATACAAGGGGACACTAATACAGCAGAGGCAGCAACAAAAAGGAGACAAAAAAAAAGGAGACTAACCTGGCCATGCCCCCATCTTGTGCAGCAGCTCAACTTGTCCCTCTGTACGAGGGAATCCATCAAGCAGCAGCGCCTGTGGCAGCACTTGCTGCTGCTGCTGCTGCTGCTGCTTAACAGGCTGGGATGCAATAGCAGCAAGCCTGTGCTGCAGCACAGATGCAACAAGTTGGTCACTAATAAGGAGGCCCTCCTTCATCCTTTGTCTTACTGCTGCTAGTACCTCTGTAGGGAAATTAACTGCAGCAGCAGCAGCAGCAGCAGAAGCACCAGCAGCAGCATCTGCAGCAGCACCACCATTATCTGCTGCTGCTGCTGCTCTGCTTAGCCTTCTTAGCTCGTCTCCTGAGCTAAGATGAGCTATAGGCAGCACCTGCTGCAGATCCTGGGCTACTGTACCCTTCCCGCTGCAGGGGGGCCCCATCAGCAGCACGACGGGTATGCTCAGAGGGGGGCCCCCAACAGCTAAATCCCCCTCTCCCTTTTGTACACCATTTACAGCGGAAGACATGGTGCTTGCTGCTGCTGTTGCTGCTGCTGCTGCTGCTGCGGAAACCGGGAGTGGCCGCGACCGAAAGAAGCCTAGAACGTTCCTTCTGCTGCAGCTAATGCTGCTGCTGCTGCTGCTGCTACTTAGAGGTGTATGTACACCTCGATGTGGGTTGTAGGTGCTGCTGAGGCCCCAGCAGAATTCTCCTGCGCACTGCAGGAGGAGGAGAAGAAGAGAGAGGAGGAAGAAAGAGAAGCGTATAATAAGAGGATTATTTGTGTTTTTCTGCTGCTGTTGCTGCTGTTTCTGCTGCTGCTGCTGTTCCCGAGTGTATAGGCACCTGCAGCCACTGTTCATGGTAAGAGGTATAACCCCCCTATTTTTGTGCTCTTTTTGTCTATTTTTCTTTTTATTTGCCAATTATTTAATTAATTAAAATAAAATTGACAATTTAATTCATTTACTGACGTGAATATACACCTCAGTCCTGCTAGCATAACTCATGCTGCTGCCCCTGCTGCTGCTGCTGCTGTTGTCTTGTGCGATATAATGCACCAAAGGGCCCCTCTACAGGGCCCCACAGCCAGGGGGGCCCCAAGCCATGGGGCCCCCCCTGCTGCTGCAGCAATACATTGAAGTAAATAAAGAAAATAATAAATAAATTATTTATCTTGTTGTATAACAATAAATAAATAAAGATCTATACCCTATACCCTGCATATGATTAAGGCGTCCCTTAGGGGCCCCACAAGGGCACGATAAGGATGCTCGCAGCAGCAGCAGCAGCAACAGCAGCAGAAGTAGCAGCAGCAGCAGCAGATGCTCGTACGTCTCCCTAGCTCGTTATATGGATAAAAGAGAAGAATAAGGGGAGCGTCATAAGGAGAAGTTAATAAGGAGACAGTTAAGGAGACGAGGGGACAGAAAAGGAGACACAAAGGAAAAGAGGAGAAGAAAAGAATAAAAAGAATAATAAAAAAAGAAAAAGGAGAAAAAAAGAAGAAAAAGGACATAAAAAAGAATAATTATATATATAATTAGCTACAAGAATACCTCATGGGGGGAGACAGCAGCAGCAGCAGCAACCCGCTGCTGTGTGACTCAGATGATGAGTCTCCTTCCTTACAAGATAAGCAGCAGCAGCAGCAGCAACAGCAGCAGCAGCAGACAGGGGAGGGTCCACTAAAGAAGAGTCGTACTAATGGCACTAATGGCAGCAGCAACTCTGCTGCTGCCGCTGCTGATGCTGCAGTGAAACCCAACCCTTCAGCAGCAGCAGCAGCTGCAGCAGCAGCAGCAGCAGCAGCAGCAGCAGAGGGACACTTTACTGGCCGAGTTGTTAAGGAAGGCGATCTTGTTGTGCTAAGAGACTTCGCTGGTAAAAGAAGTCTAGCTAGAGCCAGGCGCAACACGTGAGTCTCCTTGCTGCTGCTGCTGCTGCTGCTGCTGCTGCTGCAGTTGCTGGTGCCGCTGCTGTTTCTGCTGTTGCTGCTGCTGCTGCTGCAGTTGCTGGTGCCGCTGCTGTTTCTGCTGTTGCTGCTGTTTCTGCTGTTGCTTCCTGTTACTGCTGCAGTTGCTGCTGTTGATGATATATATGCTGCTATATGCATGCCTTTTTGCTGCAGGGAGCAGCAGGGGGGCCCCTCTGCCTTTAACTTTAATGAGGGCCTCCTTATAGGGGCCCCCTATCTTAGTACCTTTTCTTGGTTGGGTACTTGTTGGGTACGAACACAGAGGCAACTAAATATTCTTGAGGGCCTCCTTGATGCCCCTACCGAGGATATAACGGGTACTCTAGACCCTAAACCCTAAACCCTAGACACCAAACCCTAAACCCTAAGGGTTTAGGGTTTAGGGTTTAGGGTTTATTCTGTCCAATGGCTGTAGGACTTTCGCGCATGCATAGGGAGACACCTAGGACACCAAACCCTAATACCCAAGTCTGTTAAACCCTAAACCCTAAACCCTAATGTGTCCCTTGTTGCATGCAGGAGACAATCGAGGGATAGTAGACTCAGGAGATTCACAAAGACTAACAGCAGGAGAAATAGAAAGACTAAAGGGAGGTAAGTTATTTAGTGTCTCCTTTTGCAGCAAGTGTCTCCTTTTAGTGCTTGTGTCTCCGTCCTTTTAGTCGAGGGGCGGAGTTCTATAGCGTACGTCACTTTCTAGGGTTTAGGGTTTAGGGTTTAGGGTTTAGGGTTTAGGGTTTTGTTGCTGCAGCGTCGTCAGCAGCAGACGTAATAAGAGAAGTGGCGGCCAACAGCTCAACGTTTGAGCAACGGACAGCATTTTCTAAGCAAAAATATATTATTAAAAAGGCTAAGAGGTAAGCAGCAGCAGCAGCAGCAGCAGCAGAAGCAGAAGCAGAAGCAGCAGCAGCAGAAGCAGCAGCAGCAGCACCCTTTGCTGTTGCTGCAGCACCAGGTGAACCATTGCCAGTAGATAGTGCATATTTCTCACTCACTGCAGCAGCAGTAGGTATACAGGCAGCTGCTGCATCAGCATTAGCAGCACCAGCAGCAACACCAGCAGCAACAGCAGCAGCAGCAGCAGCAGCAGCAGCAGCAGCAGCAGCAGCAGTGTGTGTGTCTTGTTAGGTATATAAAACAGTATACAGTGTTAGAGGCATCAATAGGCGAACTTTGCCGCTTTTACTTCGAGGCTAACCCAACAAAAGTTATGTACGTTAATGTACTTGCTGCTGCTGCTGCTGCTGCTGTTGCTGCTGCTGCTGCTGCTGCTGCTGCTGCCGTTGTATCTATAATATATATCTATGTATCGTAACATATTTGTATCTATAATTCTATCTACATGCATATATACAACTGTATTAACGTGTGTATATATAGTTGCATGCGTATTTACATTGTTGCTGCTGCTGCTTTGCTTCTGCTGCTGCTGCTGCAGTGGGCTGAGGAATGACTACCTGAGCTGCATGCTGCACCGCCTATGTCTCTCCCCTGGCCAGAGGGTGATTGCCCTTGATCATGCCTTAGGCCTTCCTACTGCCGGGGTCCTCTTGCGCTTAGGAGGTAAGAGAGAGGGAGAGGGAGACAGTAAAAAGGAGACAGAGGGACTGTCTCCTGTCTCTTTCCTTGTAGTGTCTCCTTGTCTCCTTTTGGCTTGGAGACACTGCGGGGGAGGGAGACGGGGGACGGACATAGGGATTTATATAAGTAAAGGAGACACTGCACTGTTACAGACGGGAGAGAAAAAGAGACAGACGTTGTACCTGTTATCTTTGCTGTCTTATTGACTCAAGTGTCCCTTCTGTCTCCTTTGTGTCTCCTTTTTGTCTCCTTTGCGCAGGACAGGGCCGCCTCTTTCGCCTGTTGGAGAGTGGCGCTGTTGGAGACAAGGCCCTAAGGGACATGGCCTTGCCCGAGGCCCTCCTCTCTTGTCTTACGGACATAAACTTAGATCAGGTAAGGTCGTGCTGAGGGTTAGGGGGTATAATAGATACGCACTAGACAGACACGATGATATTAGGGTTTAGGGTTTAGGGTTTAGGGTTTGAGGTTCAGGGTTTACACGTTAACGTGTGTTCATCGCAGCTGCTCAAAGTCCTTGAAGATCGCCATAAAGGAATAACTCCTAAGGAGAGTGAGGAGGGGGCCCCTGGGGGCCCCTTGAAAGAGGAGGCGGGGCCCTCCGAGGGGGCCCAGCAGACACCCGAGCAGCGATCTGAGCGCATGCAGCAGGAGCACCAGCGGCCCGACGGGCAGGCGGCAATGAAGGCCCTTGAGGAGATAGAGGCAGGAGGGGGGATAGATGGATTTGTGGCTGCAGTGTCTCCTTATAAGGCCAGGAGACCCCAAGGAGACAGTTCGTCCTCAACAGCAGAAGTATTTGGTAAACTGGTGCACAACGCAATGCTTATCGCCTACAAATTCCTTAAGCCAGGTGCGTGCATAAGGGTACACACCTCAAGGGACCAGGGGGACCCTAAGGGCCACAAATAATGTAAGAGGCGTGCACGGGGACCCTTGGGGGCCCCTGGCTTGTAGTTCTTCATGGATGCCGCTAGGGCCCCCAGGAGGGCTAGCAGAGACCTATAAAGATGGGGAGCCAGCAGTCGAGCGACACAGCCTGTGACCGTGGCTCATGTACCGGTCCTACTTTGTTGTGCTGCTGTGGCTGCTGCTGCTGCTGCTGCTGCTGCTGCTGCTGCTGCTGCAGGCGGTCGTCTAGTATTGTTTACGCAGGCATTTGAATATGCTGGAGGCGTCCACTCAGCTTTGTGCGCCTCCCGAGAATTCGTCCATCCGAGTCTAGAGGAATTAATGCTAAGAGAATTTCAGGTAAGACGGCCCCCTAATTATATATATATATATATATATATATATATA